GCCATCTTGGGGGGGCGCGCCCCCGACGCCCCGCGCGCTCCCCCGGGCCTCCCTCCCCCCCGCGCGCGCGCTTCCCCCCACTCCCTCCCGCTGGGGGGGCACCCCGAGGTCCTCCAGCCCGACCCCGCCGCCTCCCCTTCCCAGCGCCGCTCTCTGCTCTTCTCTCCCGGCAGGAGGAGGAGGAGGCCGGCCCTCGGGCCCGCCGGGGAGACCCCAGACGCCGCTGCTGCTGCCGCCACCGCCATGAAGCTGCTCTGCGCCTCCGCTAGCCCGGCCAGCCCGCCCGCCCCGCAGACCGCAGCCGGAGCCGCCTCGTGGAGGAAGAGCAGCCGCAGGAGCAGCAGGAGCAACCGCCGGCCCCCCACCCCCACCCCGTGGGTACCCTGAGCCTCCAGGTGGGGCCCAGGCCGGCATTTGATAGGGAAGCCCCCCCCCACCCTCGCGCGCCGGCTGGGCTTGGTGGGGGTGCCCTGGAGGGGCTTCTGCCCTCTGGAGCGCCCTTCCTCCGGCAGCCTGGCTCAGGTCTTGCAGGCGGGGAGGGCCCTTGCTGGGGCTGTTTTGTGGTGGTGCCTCCCGCCACCCTGTGTCAGAATTCCAGAAGTGCCTTCAGGCTCCAGCGGGTTGGAGATCCCTGACTCACAGTCCGTCCGGGGGAGGCGTGGCACCTGTGGGACCTGGCCATAACGCTCTTTCACATATGGGAGAAGTGGCGATACTCCTGGTTTGCAGGGGAAATAGCTGGCACACACACAGGGGATAGCAGAAGACAGACGAAGATGGGTAGCCAGGTTAGTCTGTCTCTAGCTGTAGAAAAAAGCAAGAGTCCAGGAGCACCATAAAGACCCACAAAATTTGTGGCAGGGGAGGAGCTTTAGTGAATCATAGAATGTTAGAGTTGGAAGGGACCTTGCAGGTCATCTAGTCCAACCCCCTGCACTCTGCAGGAGCAGAGCCGAAAGAGAGCCCTACGACAGAATCACTGTTCGCTTCTTCAGATACCAGAATAGGAGAAGTTCTTTGAGGCCCCAGAGCTTGCGGGGTGGGTGGGTGGAGTGCCTCCCCCCCCCAATGTCACAGCTGCTCCTTCAGTCGGGCCTAGTTGCCCCTGCTTTGGGTCTGTGGTGCCACAAAGTGTCCTGCGCTAATTTGTCCTTTCCTGCTTGTGGGGAGGAGGGTGGGATTGGCCCTCTGCCCCACCCCCTCGGGCTTAGATCACGCCATTCGGCTGAACATTGGTATCTCGGTGCTGGTGTTCCCCTGGCCTCGGTGCGAGCGTGGCCACCTGCTGACGCCAGGCTGCCGGCTGACACGGTGCTCCCTCTCTCCTCCCCACCCCCAGTGCGACCGCTGAGCCATGGCCAATGAGAACCACGGCAGCTCCAGGGAGGACGCCGCTCTGATGAGCCACTCCCCCGGCACGTCCCACCAGAACCAGCCAAGCTCCCCCAAGCCCGTGCGGGTGGTGCAGGATTTGCCAGGTAACAGCTGGGGGCCGCGTGCCTGCGGGCGGGACAGCGGGCGGCTGGCTTCTTCTCCCCTCCCCAGCCCCTGACTCCCTCCCTCTCCCCAGACGAGCTGGTGCAGGCCGGCTGGGAGAAGTGCTGGAGCAAGCGGGAGAGCCGCCCGTACTATTTCAACCGCTTCACCAACCAGTCGCTCTGGGAGATGCCGCTCCTGGGGCAGCACGACGTCATTGTGAGTTCCTGCGGTGGCGGTGGGGAGGCAGCCGGCCACGATCCCCGTTTGGGAGGCTTCTTGGTGTGCGTCTCAAAGCTCGTGGCAGGCAGCGCGGGCCACCGGTCCTGCTTCTGGTGATGCCAGGAGGCAGGCAGGCGGCCTAACGGTCCTTGTCTTGGGCTCCCCAGTCTGACCCCCTAGGCCTGAATGCAGCCCTGGTACCTGCGGAAGTGGGGGTTGGAGATGCCACCGCTGCTGCTGCCGCCGAAGGCAAGTCACGGAAGCGGAAGCTGTCTGAGGAGGTCCAGCCCAGTGGAAACAGCGTGAAGAAGCCCAAGGTAGGCCCCCGCCAAGAACCAAGTGGGGTTGAGCAGGCCGTCAGCGACGCAGAATCAGAACAAAGTTCATTGTATGTGGCCATTGGCCATCAGAATTCCATATAAAACTGGATCCCTAATATCTTAAAATACACATTTAGTTATTAAATCCAGTGAGAATTTAAATTCATTTGTACGATATCAACAATATTTAAAATGCCTCAAATTAAAATTGCATACAGCATTTACAAATTCCTGTTCCAACTGTAACAATGTCAGTGCCTTGCATCTCAGCAGGCTGCGTTGCTAAGAACCACCTTTGTGCCAGCTTTCCTGGCTGCTAATGCAAAAAGGGCCACCTTACAAGATACCAAGGGATTCACGTCTGACAACAGAAAAATTAGCTTGTCACTGTCAGAAAAATCGCAGTTGATTTAAGTATTTGAGATAAAAATCTATTTCTAAGATCCCAGTATAGTGGGCAAACCATTACGTAATGAAATAGATATTCAGTAGAAGTTCCACATAGACAAGTACGTTGTTCTAGGGGAATTTTTAGATATCTTCCAGTCAGTACTTCTGATGGCATGTTCTGAAATTGTAATGCCGTGAATGCCACTTGTAGACCATGTGCAGTAATGTTTGTCAAACAGAAAGCTCTCAGATGATCTTTCTTTAAGTTTTTATACCAAGGTGCTGGCTCTTCTCTCAGGAAATCGACAGCTGAGCGAAACCTGCCTTCCGCTGTATCAGGCCCTTGGTTGCCTACTCAGACTGGCAGTGCCTCACCAGGGTCTCAGCCTGAGGTCTTGGACATCGGCCGTTACCTGATCCCTTCCGCTGGCGATGCCAGGGATTGAACCTGGACCCTTCAGCCTCCCAAGCAGATGCTCTCCCCCTGAGCCACGGCCCCCTCCCCACGGCTCACTGGCTTCCTGCGCTCACCTGCTTTCATTGTGCCAGGGCCTCATTTGGCCCAGAGACACACGCAGCTGCCTTCTGAAGGATCCGGTGGTACAGAAGATCCCTGGCTCAATCCCCCGCAAGCGTCTCCATTTAAAAGGACAACAAGATGAAACGCAACATGCGTAAACAAGAAAAAAATCCACGTGCCCAAATCACGTGCTTTAATAAATTATATAGATGTGACATATATAGTACTCATAACAAATTTTCCTACAACACAATAAATAGACAGGTAGAAATTCAGGGGTAAAGTTAATCACAGGCAGGGGTCATTTCGTAGAAAAAGAGGTGCAGGAGCTCATTAGCATAGCTCATTAGCATAACTGATTTGCATATGCCACACCCCTAACATCACTAGAAGTGTGTCAGAAGGCAACACCTACTGCTCAGGCTCCACTGGACTGTTTTGGGTTGCTAGCTATTGTGGGGGGGGGAGTGCAGATCTGTCCTCGCAGAGGAGGGAGAGCTTGTGCCTGAATAAAACTTGGTCTTAAAGGTGCCACTGGACTGTTTTGGGCGGGGGGGGGGGGGAGCTCTGCAACTTACCTGGCTGCTTCTTGCTCTGACTGAGGGCTGCTGGGAGCAGGGGGCGGGGCTTGTTGCATGTGCCCGCCCCCTGGGCTCTTTACTGCTGGAGCTCCGCTTCTGTGCGCTCCTGCAGAAAATGACCCCTGGTCACAGGTAGCAATTCACAGGTGGAGTTTTTCCTAAAACAGTTTGTAATAATAAATTCAAAAAAAGTCCTTGAACTGTAAGGATGTAGGAGTGTCTCTGCCAGCTGACTCAACAGACCCCCTGTTTCAATATTTTTTTCCAGGGATCATGCTGGATTCGACATTTCAAAGATCCTCAGTGATTCCCAATGGAGAATCAATCACTTCTTGGAACCTCCCTTCAAAATCTTGAAGCATTTCACCACCATGCCATTTCCATTAATGTTTAATTAATTATTACAAATTGTCTTTGGGAAAACTCCACCTGTGGATTTCTACCTGTGATTAACTTTACCTGTGAATTTCTACCTATGTATTTCTTGTATCATAGGAAAATCTGTTCTGAGTACTATATATGCCACATCTATATAATTTATTAAATCATTGATTTTTGGTGTTAAAATTTGTGCACGTGCATATTTTTTTTCTTATTTAAAAGGACAAAGGCAGGAGGCGATGGGGAAGACCCTTCCCTGCCTGAGACCCTGGAGAGCCGCTGCCAGTCTGTGTAGTTATTTCTGAGCTCGCCGGGTGACCAGTACCAGGAACTTCGCATGTCTGTTCGTGTCGCAGTCATCCAGTATTTTCTAATCTGGCCTGAAGTGGGTGGTGCCCCCCTGGCTGGGGCTTGGCCTGCTGCGTCAGGGCCATTCTCCTGTAATTTGGGGGGGGGGGTGACAGGTGGGCCACCTGCCACAGCTGATCCTGCTCATGCCACCTCCCTTTCAGGTGGACGTACCTCCCACTCAGCCCACCCCCATCGCCTCCAATACTCCCGGGACCCCTCTTTTGAAGCTGTGGGGGGTCTCTCCTGAAGACAAGCAGCAGGCAGCTCTTTTACGACCAACCGAGTGAGTCACGAGGGGGTTTTTCTTGGGGGGGTAGGGGGCTCTCTGGTCCCCCTGCTGCAGGTCAAGGCTGAGTTCTTTCCCCCGAGCCTGGCTCCGTGCCTGGCGACGTCTCCCCTCCTCCTCCTCCTCCTCCTCCCTGCAGGGTGTACTGGGACCTGGACATCCAGACAAATGCTGTCATTAAGCAGAGGCCCCCCTCCGAGGTGCTGCCTCCCCACCCGGAAGTGGAGCTCCTCCGATCCCAGCTGATGCTGAAGCTGCGCCAGCACTACCAGGAGCTTTGCCAGCAGCGGGAAGGTAGCTGCTCCCCCCCCCCCCGGTGTCCCCCTGTCAGACAAGGCAGTAACTCTCAGATGCAGTAAGTCCTTTATCAGGCTTTTATTGGAAATCAGAAAAGTTGCTTTCAAGTGGATTGCTTTGACAGAACTGAGGGATATTGCAGAGTTAGAAACTACAGGACCTCTGGTCCAGCCTTCATACATACGTCATGAATACATATTCATTATACAGGTTAAGACAGTTCAATTAACTTGGTGAGAATGTTTATTAGTTGCTATTCCCTTGAGGCCATGAGAAATACGAAAAGCGAAAAATCTCTTACAACCTAAACAGGGGCGGGATTACTTCACAGTGTTCCATAAGCGCACTATCTAAGTTCACACAGACCTGTCTCAATCTCTCCCCTTGACGAATGTCAGAGGAGGTTCCTTGATACACGGCCAGCTGTGCTACATGGGCTTGGGAGCTTGGAAATGCGAGCGGGGATGAAAGAGCGGAAGTGATAACGATTACATTTAGCAGAGCAAAGCTATGTACAGCTGACGTAGACATGCATGTATACAGCCCCTATGACCAGACAAGGGACCGATTCTGACACCCCCTGGCGCGCTGCTCTAGGCCTGGCTCCGGAAGGCCCCTCAGCGATCCCATCTTCCTTTCCCCCCCAGGGATCGATCCCCCCCGAGAGTCCTTCAACCGCTGGATGCTGGAGCGGAAGGTGGTGGATAAAGGGACAGACCCCTTGTTGCCCAGCGACTGTGACCCGGTGGTCTCTCCTTCCATGTTCAGAGAAATCATGAATGACATTCCGATTAGGTACCGTCAGGGGACGGGGAGCGCCAGAGCTGCTTTGTCGGGGGGTGTGTGTTGGGGGGCAGGCCTGGACAGCAGCCCTTTGTCATCTTTGCACGTCCCACAGGTTGTCCCGAATTAAATTCCGGGAAGAAGCCAAGAAGCTGCTCTTCAAATACGCGGACGCTGCAAAGAGACTTATTGAATCCAGGTTGGAGCCTTTAATTGTGGC